AGAAAACATCCTGAATTAACTGACCTTAAATCAGTGTTAGAGAAAATGAGGGGAAAAAGTTAATGCACAAAGGACCATAATACACAGTAACTAATTTTTCTTCTCTAAGAATATATGCAACTTTTTATAAGCTGCATAAATTACAACAAAAAGTTAGGGACACAGATTTGATATTTAGACTATTAAAATATTTATTAAAAGTCAAGTTTCCTTTTCCCATATTAAAAAGAAAACATATGACTGGAACATTCAAAGAATAATTTCCAAGTCCATTATCAAATAAGAGATCATGAAAAGATATTTTGAAACTTAAAATTAGGGAAGCCCATACACAATTAGAAAAGGGGGAGAGTGCTAACCAAAATAAAGCCAGAACAATCCTTTACACTTTACAGTCTTTTAATAATTAAGCACATAAAACTGTACTACTTAATATATTTCTCCATGAACTTTTTGTGAAATTCAGATCGCAGCGTATCATTTACAAATCTTTTGTCTTTCTTCTGATCATCTACACCTTTTGCACAGTTCTTGAAGACAACATCATCATCCCACCTGAAAGAAAAAATATTAAAACAAAAATATTATAAGGTTCCCAAAAGGCAAGATTGCAATGAAGAGCATGCAGAATGTCAAAAATTTAGAATTGTTCTCATTATACTGCTATGCATATTACTCTAGAAATATTCCTCACTTTATCTAATTCAAATTTTATATAGTAAAATACATGAAACCTTAGAACATTGTTTAAAATATTTTGTAATGAAATAATAGGACACTCTTACAATGCCTGTATCAGGAAACAAGAATACCATGAATACATTACTCTAATAAATCTCAGCCGTGAGTACAACTATATGCTTAATCCGAGTCCTTCCAGGGAAATAGTCCGAATGTGAGGGTGGTCTTGGGGACCCCCAACACATACATCTAAAATGTAGGTTTCACAGGGCCAAGGTCTCAGTTTATTCTTTTGTCTCTAGTGCTTAGAAAAATATCTGGCACACTGCTGGTTATTATAATATCTATTGAAAATAACTTTATTTTCTTCCTTTCATAATTTCAAAATCTGATAGAGAAGATTATCAGTGAAGGTGAGGTTGTAGAAGCTTTACATAATGTATTTTGCAATCCAGCTAATAACTTGTATATATATCGAACTTACTACTATATCATACCTTCTTTTAACTTTGAAGTTGGCCTGAGGCTGGGATGGGCCAGTGAGATTCAGGAGTGGGTTTCCACTCAGAATGTTTTCCATACGGATCCTCTCTTCTTCGGCTTTTTGTTCTTGTTCCTGTCAAAGTCAGGGGATGATTTACATTTACTTACATTAACTCTTGGGGTCAAATTTCTTAAATAGCTCATATTAAAAAAAAGATCGTTATAATTTTATGAAGGAGAATAGGTAAGCATCGTTTTTTTTTTCTTTTTTAAGACGTAGACCAGAAAAGTCTCACATATCAAAATAATTCGGCATTTTTATAAATATTTCATGCTCGCCTCATACATTCATTAGTCGCTTCCAACTCTGAAATCCTATGAGATGTATATTTGAATCAATTTTCTTTAAGTACATACAAAAAAATTAATTGCTTTGAATTTTAAGAGTACCTCAATAAACATACTAATAATTTTAGAACACATTAAACATTAAAAAGACACACTTAGCAAAGTTATTACCTCAATATTGAAAGAAGGGCTATAGGCTGTACACACTATGATTAAAATAATCTTATTATTTTAAATTACTAATAATGTAAACTTCTGTCTCTATAATTGGTAACAAGTTATCCTTAATCAAGAAGTATCGCCTAACATAAGATAAACACCCCTGTAAAAAATTACATAGTTAACATGTGTTTTCCTACTAACTTAGCTGAGGTAGTCCATTTTATCATGATTTATTGTTACTATCTTTTACCTCTCATCCTCCCATCAGTTTTAACATTGTCTTTCTTCACTTTACTCTTATTTTTCTATCAACATCTTTTAAACTCAAGTCATCCTGTTCCACTCTTAGAATTACAAATAAAGAATGTCTAAAATCCTTAGCTACAACTTCTAGATTTACCTGATTCCATGCTACCTTAAACCAAAGATAGACCTCACTTTGCTATGTTTTGAAGATGACAGCAATTGATGACTTATAAATCATGGAAAAGGGACTGTCTAGAAGTCTATTTACATGAACCTTTGTGTTACACCATCTGGAAAAATAACCTTAATTTCCATACAGGTTACTGATACTTCATTTTGACTATCCAAATGTGAACAATGAATTTCATTTTCACGAGGACAAGTAACAGGGAAGTAAGATACAATCTGCAGGGAAATCAACAGAAAAATTCTTTTAGCTCACTGTTCAGAACTTCAGCAAACAAAAATGAAAACTATCCATCACAGATGAAGAACAGATAGCTCTCTAAAAACGATGTATTTCCTCTTACAAATTATACTGATGCTGAAAGTAAAAATACATTTCTGAAATGCTACAAAAACAGCAGCTCAAGTATATAATGTATCCCAATCTATAATAATAATGTGTGTGATATACAAAGTCCTGGCCTTTTTTATGTTTGGAACATTATTTCCTTTAGAACAACTAGATGATTGCCCCATACAGCACTGGAAAATAATGCACCAATTCTTTCAATATTCAAGTACCAGGCACACTACATAAACACAGGCCATACTGGCCCACCACCTGTTTTTGTATATAAAGTTTTACTGGAACATAGCCACGCCCTTTCACTTATGTATTGTCTATGGCTGATTTCATATTATAATGGCAGAGTTGACTAGTTGTGATAGAAACCGTATGGCCTATAAGCCTAAAATATTTACTATTTGGCCCAATACAGAAAGTTTGCCAACCACTGACATAAACTGACTGGTTTGAAATATTATTTTGGGCCTCAAAAACCATCCAATAATGAGCCAGACAGGGGAAACAGGGACAAAAGAAATAGAACTGGTATTCAAACCCAAGAAACACCAACTTACCTTTGTACAAAGAAAACAGATGCACTGCAGAAACTTGCAATGCCTTCTGCCTCAAATGTTTATCCTCCCAAAAGGTCAATCAAATACATTTAAATTGCTTGTGTCTTTAGTAGTATCCAGTGATGCCAGTAAGCCAAAAGAATTTGGAATTAAAATACTGCCCTCTAGCGGTGTGCAAGTGATATTAGGAATGCTTCTATAATTCTTTGATTTGTAAACATTAGATACAAAAATTATAAGCTATTATAGGAATTACGCTCTCCTATGCCAAACTTTGGAGTCCCTGGGTGGTGCAAATGGTTAACGCGCTTGCCTGCTAACTGAAAGACTGGAGGTTCGAGTTCACTCAGAGGTATCTTGGAAGT